TTTCTTCTTTCTCCTTATCATTTTCCTTCTTTCTATCGTTCTTTCTGCACCTTCCTTCCACTCTCATTACAAAGAAAGTATTCTTTCTTTTTTTCTCCATTTTTTTCCCCATTCACTCCCTTCCTTTCCTAATCTGCTTTGTTTTCTTCCTCATCCTCTACATTCTTTTTCCGATCCTCTCTCATTTCCTTACTCTTTTACCTTCTTACTTTTCTCCACAACTTCCCAACTGCTCACCCACCCATTCCCACCTTGTCGCCATGACAACTTACCCTGTTTCTATTAAGGAATATCAGTTAGAGCAAAGCGCCAAAACTCTGACACTGAAAATGGCCAAACTCAACCCCCATCTTCAACCTCGTCATCTCACTTTCTCTCCAACATAAACCCACCACCCACCCTGCCTCCTGAAGCAATCGTGAGCCGAGCTTTATGCATTAGAAATGACACTGGAGACCTGCTTCTAAAACGTACGCTAAATGATAGAGTGCACAGGCGGCAGGGAATGGCAGCAGACACTGCACATTACTGCAATCATGTATCACTTCAATCCTCTTCCTAGTCTTTTTCCTTCAACGGGCCACGGCTGCTGCTGCCAACACCTTTCGACTCTTTTGACTTCTCCCGACATCACTTTCCATCTTCCTTCTCTTTACCAAGAAACAAGTTCACATTTTACTCAGTTCCAGCGGACATCATTTTCTCTCTCTCTCTCTCTTTCTTTCCATCCACATCCTTCTCTTCTATATTCTCTTTCCTTTTCTCTCTATTTCCATCCTCATCCTTCTCTTCTATATTCTTTCCTTTTTTTTCTCTCTCTCTCTTTCCATCTTCATCCTTCTCTTCTATATTCTCTTTCCTTTTTTTCTCTCTCTTTCCATCTTCATCCTTCTCTTCTATATTCTCTTTCCTTTTTTTCTCTCTCTTTCCATCTTCATCCTTCTCTTCTATATTCTTTCCTTTTTTTCTCTCTCTTTCCATCTTCATCCTTCTCTTCTATATTCTCTTTCCTTTTTTTCTCTCTCTTTCCATCTTCATCCTTCTCTTCTATATTCTCTTTCCTTTTCTCTCTCTCTATTTCCATCCTCATCCTTCTCTTCTATATTCTTTCCTTTTTTTTCTCTCTCTCTCTTTCCATCTTCATCTTTCTCTTCTATATTCTCTTTCCTTTTCTCTCGCTCTCTCTTTCCATCCTCATCCTTCTATTCTACATTCTCTTTCCTTTTTACTCTCTTTCCATCTTCATCCTTCTCTTCTATATTCTCTTTCCTCTTTTCTCTCTCTCTCTTTCCATACTCATCTTTCTCTTCAACATTCTCTTTCCCTTTCTCTCTCTCTAATCTTCCCCACTCATGATCTTCTCCTTCTTCTTCTATATTAATTTCCTTCCTCTTCCGTACCCTGTCTTTTATTCTTATTGCTTTTTTCTACTTCTTTTCTTGCTTTCTTTTTATTGCTCTTTCTTTCATCCTTTTAAACATTCTACCTTCTCTTTTACTTTCTTCGTCTTCTTTTCTTACATTCCTACTTTCTTCACTTCTTTCTTTTACCTTTTAATTTTTATTTTCTATTCTTTCTTTTTATCATTAACATTAACCTACTCTGTTTTCTTCCCAAATCCACCAGCACAATCACATCTTCTGATTCCAGTTTGGCTGGGATCAAAGCATAGTACCTGTTCTCTCCTCATTTAAAATGGAAGAAAACACATGATCCCAGGAATTACAACTCTGTGGCAGTGCCTTCCTCACTGTGCCAAGAGTGGTAGGTTTGGTGCAATATTGACACTAGCATGACATTAGTTGTTGTGAATATATATATATATATATATATATATATATATATATATATACACACACACACACACACAAAAAAAAGAATTTGCTTTACATCATGTCTTAGTGGAGAGGTCAGTTAAATAGCATATTATCATCTCTCTTTTCCTTACCAAAAATTCAAAACTACAGTTTTTACTATGGCCTCATTTACCACAATCAGAACTCCCACTGCATCCCCAACCTGACAGCCTTTTTATTGTCCATTTGTATCTTTCTTCACCACTAATCTATCCTTTCTAATTTCAGCTCTCAAACCCTCTACTGGGTGTGGTCACTAGTGGCCAAATATTTGTCAACTACTACTGCTGCTCTCATCTTCCTTTCCCTGAATCCCATAACCATTGCAGACAAGCTTCTCCGTCAATACAGCCAAGCCCACTTCAACTGCCTATTATGAGGCTATGATCAACCCAACATTTGCAGCTGGCCACCTAACCATTACAACACATTGGACCATTACGACACATTGCACAAATTAACAACAAAGTGTTGCTAATCATTACAATTAATCAAACACTATTTTGCCTCAAGTCCTGCAGGATCAGGATCTTTCCAATTGAATATTCAATTCTTAAACATCACTGCATCATTTATGAAATGCACTACGTTCTGATGCGTTGCAATCTGCACAAAATCTCTCTCATTCACAAATCCTCATTCATTCAAATATGAATCCACCCCAGGCAATACTCCAAAGCTCTCCCTTGCTTTTTGCACTGTTATATGGACAGGCTTCAACAGAAATGTAGCAATAGAAGTTAAATTTAAAACAACTCAATATGGAACATTTACTTTCGACTGATGGTTATCAGTAATTGGAGTCAACTTCAAAGTACAAGAGCAATAGGCTCAGACTGAGAGACAGTGACAAAAGGAATCAAGTGGACCTGCAGAAAGACAGAGGACCGGGACCCCTGAGTTGGTTTCATACCCACCCATTCTTCACTTTGGTGCCTTAACCAGCCTAAGAATAAAATCTAGTTTACTACTAGATATCTGATACCCTGGAATTCAGAAGATTCTCCAACATGTGAAAATCCTCACCAGAAGAAAAGTAAACAAATAAATGGTTGATAACTGAAAACAATTATCTTGAGTATCAGAATGAAAACAGCTTGAGAGAACTGATAAGCTTGCGTGTAAGTGCCATATTGAAATAAAATTGCAAGTCCCAATTCAGGGATTGACAATGATTACAAAAAAGGAAAGAGAATGAAAGCAATCACTCTCTGTTTCTAAAATTACTAAACATCACAAAATTTGACAATTTTAAAAGTGGCAAAGCAATTAAATGAGCAGGTATTGGCTCTAAAATTGAAACTTGAATAAGAGTTTTCAAGTAGGTGAATTTTAGTTAAAAAATTACAATTTATATTAATGTCAAATTGATCAGTTGGACTCAGGATAAAAATGAACTACATGCAAACTTGTAAAATAAAAACAGCACATACACTGAAGTCTATATGAAAATAAAAAATGCAAAAACATATAAAAAACGATACAAGATAATCTCCAATATTAAACTGAAATATGGGCACATAATACAATGAACTCTTTTGCAGTATCAGAGCACTTCAGCATAGCTATATAGCCAATTGCTTCAAGTTGGGATCAAACCTTTCGACTCTTTTGATTTCCCGACATCAGATCTCAAAGTCAAAGATCATTTCCTCTCTCTCTCTTTCCATCCAATCCTTCTCTTCTAGAAATTCTCTTTCCTTTTTCTCTAATATATATATTCTCAGAAGAGTAATCCTTCTCTTCTATATTTCCTTCTCTTCTATATTCTCTTTTCCTTTTCTCTCTCTTCCATCTTCATCCTTCTCTTCTATATTCTTTCCTTTTTTCTCCTCTCTTCCATCTTCAATATATATATTCTCTTTCCTTTTTCTCTCTCTCCTATTTCCATCCTCATATATATATATTCTCTTTCCTTTCTCTCGAAGAGTAATATATATATATATATATATTCTCTTCCTTTTCTCTCTCTCTAATATATATATATATATATATATATATATTGAAGAGTATTTATATATATATATATATATATATATTGAAGAGTATATATATATATATATATATATATTCTTTCTTTTTACCTTTTGAAGAGTTATTTATATATATATATATATATATATATATATATTTTTCCCCAAATATCACATCTTCTGAAGAGTAATATATATATATATATATATCCTCCCATTTAAGAGATATATATATATATATATATATATATATTGCCATATATATATATATATATATATATATATATATATATATATAGAACACAAAAGAATATATATATATATATATATATATATTTGAGAGAGTAATATATAATATATATATATATATTTTCAAACTCCAGCATCCCCAACCTATATATATATATATATATAAATATTTTACTTTCAACTTTATATATATATATATATAATATATATTGTATATATATATATATTTATATATGTATAGAGAGAGAGATTTTGGATATAACCATTAAAATAGCAAAATGCAATTCCTTTACAGGAACTTTGTACAAATCTTATTCAACAAGTTGTCTTTTTATTAATTCAAGAAATGCCTAATGAGATTATGAAGATAGAAAAGCATGTCAATGTGCCAAATCAGTTCAATATCCAAGTCTTTTAGAAATAGAATTAAGTTGTTAGTTTGGTCAAGTTAAAGAGGAAAACAGAATAAGAAACATTAACTGATAAAATAAACTGAACTTCTGCAACTATCGAACATAAAGATAAGGATGTCGCCATTATGGTATATACACTACTGACATTATACAATTGTAGGTGACATCATCAAACTGTTTATATTAAGCATGTGGGTGTGTCATCAAAATGTCCAAGCCCTAAACAATGACATAAAACAATTTTAATGGACAGATTTTCCTTCTTCCTATTTTTTGGACATTTGTTTTGAAAACTTTCTATTCTTTCTTTTTATCATTAAGAGAACTTGGAGAAGAGAATTAATAGGAAGTAACTGATAACTGACATCTATTCGACATGGCACGTGGAACTAGAACAGTCTACCCCAACAAGCGAAATAAAGGGTTCAGTTCTACATTCCAACCACCTGAAGAAGGCTAGAGTGTACAATGGCCAAAACGTTGTAATAAATATGGCAACAAAGATGGAGATGATAGTCTGAACAATGTAAATAGTGTACATAATACCTCATCTCAGAAATATAGACAGATACTGAACTTCCCATTAAAAATGCTGGTTAAACAGAAAAAAACTGGCCCTAACTGAAGAACCCCTTGTTTAATTTTAATGAAATTTGGCACTGCACTCAGCAGGGTTAGAAGGTACAATATGCTCCTAAATTGGTTGGGGTATTATCTATCATTGAAGCTGTATCTTGGGAGCACGCATATATACAAGATTAGAGTTTTAGTATTATATAGATTGAAGAATTCTACCAATTCTACAAAGATTAATCAAGGTGAAATGTCTATTTTTCCAATTTATTAGATCCAAACATAAAAAATAAGCAACCAGTTAAGAAACCTGAGTACTAATTCTTGCGCAAAAACAAAGCAACCAAAATACTGCTCAAAATAGTAAGTGCTTTATAAAAGGAAATGTTTATAAAGGTTAATTTTAATGAAATCATATTACAAAAGTGGTCAAACTTATCTTCTCCAGCGAATTTCAAACTAGCAAAACATCCAATAGGCTCACCATATTGAGAAGGAGGAATAATAAAAATAAAAAAAATGAATTACCGTATTTGCTGGCCTATTGTACCAAAAAATGACCCTGCATCCAATGCGGTATTATATATGAGAGGCACATGAAGACAATGAAAAAACGTGGGGTCCACCAGGAATCAGTGCCCCGCAAAGAGCTTAGCTCTGAAACTAGGACTCCTGGAAGTCAACAAATATATAAATAAAAATATATCCTTGAAAAATTCCCCCAGGAAAAAAAATTAAGAAATTTATGGAAGTTCACAATCTTTTGATGCTTGTTTTTTTAGAAATCCCAGATTTTACAGAAATATTTGCTTCAACTGGTTTATTGTTGCTTGCTTTGTGTGTGTTTTTGTTGATATTCACGTATTGGAATTGTTTTTTCTGCATATATGGTATGGGACTTCATTTACCAACAACTACCATATTTCTGGTTTTTTGCCTATTACCATATGTACCAGTGTTCATCAATAGATTTCTTTGTAGCTACTATGAATTTACTGTATATGCAGATGTTGCTCCCTGAAAAACAACTAAAATAATTTTCAATAAATGCATGAGGAAATGTACTAAAATTCTTCTTTTCTGAAAAATGTCCTGGTAAATTAAACCTTACCTCATTTCTATTAAAAAAAGTACCAGTTGTATAATTTGTGCTAATACTGTTAAGTGTTTCTTCATGGTTAGTGAGAAGATCACATAATAATGTCCTGGTAAATTAAACCTTACCTCATTTCTATTAAAAAAAGTACCAGTTGTATAATTTGAGTGTTTCTTCATGGTTAGTGAGAAGGTCACATAAAAATGTCCTGGTAAATTAAACCTTACTTCACTTCTACTTAAATAAAGTAGCAGTTGTATAATTATATATTAATAATTTGTGCTATTACTTTAAGTGTTTCTTTATGGTTAGTGAGAAATAAATGAAAGTTTTTAATTTTGATTTTTTTGGTTGTGATGTATGCATTTTTTTTTTCCTAAATATTCCATGCCAAAATCTGGGTGTGTCCAATAGGCAGGCAAATATTGTAAACCAAAAACTATAGATATTTGCATTCTTGTTAGGGAAAAAGAAAAAGAAAAAAAATACTCCAAGAGCAATCACAGGTTACTCTTGAAATATTCACCTGACATCACCGCAATCCCTGATAGAAAACAACCTACAGTTGGAGCTGATCTGTTTTTGAAGTCAGTTTTTCTCTCAATGACACAAATGCACTTTCACTGCCGCTCATCAGTCAATAAACCTTTACAACTTTTCTTGTCTCTCATTCCCTTTCCCTTATAGCCAGCCAAGCTATTCCTGCCTTTAAACAGGGGGCTGAAGGCAGGTGGCACAAGGGTGTAGATAGCCCACTTAGGGCAGGGTACAAAAGCAATAGAGAAAGGTAAAAAGAAAAAAAAATAACACCCTCCCACAACCCTGTTTTCTGGGTTTTTTTTTTTTTTTTTTTTTACTTGTTTTTCTTTTGTTTTGTTTACTTCCTTTTTTTCTTTTCTTGTTTACTTCTTTTTTTTTTCTTCTTTTCTCAAACTTTCTTTTTCTTTCTGTTGATTTGTTTTCTACCAGCTTATCAACCCTTTGCAGGTTATTTGAAGCCAGAAAATATGTTTAGATTGTAAGAATTGTTTTTTCTGGAGATAATAATGGTTTAATTATACAAGTCTTACTAATTAACCTAAAACCTGGAGTGTGTAGAGTTGAATTTATACCGTTCCCAAGAGTATTTGTGCGTAAGTAAATATAACAAACCTAACTGAAATTGGAACTCAGCTATCTAATTAACAATTCCGAACCATTCACCAATACAACACCCACACATCCAAGCTTACAGTTCCTGGTATTCCCAAGTGGCCATCTATTGAGGTACTAACCAGTCTCGGCACTGCTTAACTTTAGTGATCATACGGGAACCAATGTTTCAACATGATGTGGTCATA